TACTCTGGCTTGGGGTCCGGCGACACCAGCCCGCTGCCGTGGAAATACCCTATGCCGCCCAGCAGGCTGCTGAGCGCGCTGCGAGCCATCGCCACGTGCTCGGTATCGAACCCCTTGGCTGTCAGACCAAACGTGTGCTCAAAGCGCGCATCGAATTCCTTGCGGCGGGCACCAGCAACAGCCGTGATCGTCCCGCTGTCTATGCGTGCTGACTTGTCGGAGCACTCGTAGATGACGTCAAAGGCAAACTCCCCCTTGACCACCATCTGGGCGAACAGCAGGTTGCCGCCAGTCTCCAGACCTGTGTTGTCCAGAGAGAACAGCGCTGCTCCCGACAGCGGCATGTTGCCTGGGTCGACTTTTTCAATCGCTTGCGCCCGCTTGCGGGCTGCCGGCAGCAGGCGCTCCATGAACAGGTCCTTGGCCTTCCACACGTCGTCTCCGGGAACATTCATGGCAAGGCCCGCAACCTTCTGCCCGGTCTTGACTGCCTTAACCTTCCGCAGCTTCTTTGGCAGCCTCGGCGGCTTGTTGCTGGCCGCTGGCACAATGCGCGCCGTAAACTCGCCCAGCTCCTCGGTCTGTCCCCTGATGACTGCCACATCGTCCTCAATGCTCATCTTCATAGTGCCATTGCCCTCCATGCCAAAGTAATACATGAGCGCTGCCCCCTCCTTGCCCCCCTCCAGCGTCTTTCCCGTGATCCTGGCTGCCCAGCTGCCGCCGCGCTCTCCAGGCACCTTGATGAACTGCGATTTGATCTCGACCGCCTGGTCGCTATCGCGCATCGTCTGCTCGCCAAAATCCCGCCCGTTGTGCCGCGAATACCCGTACTCTGCCAGGTTATCGCCCAGCTCGCACGAGTGCCGGATGCGCTGCCAGTTTGTTGGGTCGTCCATGCCAAACCACATAAGCCCGGTCATCAGCGTGTTGGGCACGCGCGGCCGGGTGCCAAAGTATAGGTTCGGTCGGTATGTGCCCCAGAGCAGCGACGAGTCCAGGTCATCCTGCACCGTGCCATAGTCCGCACCCAGCACTGCCGCTGTCAGTCCAATTGCAACAGCCAGAACGCGCATAATGTACAGAAAAAAGTGAAGGTGAAGAGGTGCAGCTGTGTTGACGTAGCTAGCAAATCAAAAGTCAGTTCGTCACCAAAGCGATCCGAGTATTCCCAAACAAGAGCCTAATTAATAAAGCAATTTTTTGCCGAGAGACAGGCTACCATGGCATTAATCAAATTTGCTACTGCATATCTGCAGGCAGGAGTCTACACAACGCCAAAAGTCGGGAATGAACAGGCATTGCTTGAGTCCATATATGGGCATCCACGCATTACTAAAAGAGGCATAGACTATGGCCAAGCCTACCCGATGGGCGTCGATGACGGATCAGAGCTGGTAAGCACCACAGCCAAGTATGATCACAACTGTACAACTGCTGCTGGAAGCTGAGCGCCGCAACAGGCATATATGCGGCGTTGCTATTTGCGTTTTGTTTCAGATCTGCTTTTCTTTATCGGTTTTAAATGTATTCTACAACAAACTCAACATTTACCTAGTCTTAGCCAACACACCTTAGGTACTAGACTTGTCAAAAGCGATGCCAGGCAGGCAAGCCATGCTACATAAATACGCGATGTGCCATGCTGAATCTGACTGCGTAAAGCGTATTGGTACTTGCCAACGGCCCTTGCGTAGAATAGATAGTTTGATCAGTAGTTATATCTAGAGAGAATCATTTGGTTCCTGGTCTCGTTGCTGCCATCAGCGATCGGATATTTGAGCGATATCCCCTGCAACTCATCGGAGCTTTCGTTCAAGAAGACAAACGACGACAACGACAACGAAATACGTGCCGCAGAATCGGATAACCAGAGTATATTCGTTAAAGGTTCTACCATCCAGTGCACCGGAAGACTGCATGGCTGTCTTGGCCACGTCATTCGGGGCACGTATGATGGCAAAGGCACAAGCATGAAGATCACCTGGACGCCTGCTAGACGGTTCTCAGAAGGCGCCACCTATCATATTCTGAGGTACCAGGATGTCATGAGTATTTATGAGCTATATCAGAGCGGTGTTTTGGTCAAGGACTTTTGTGGTCACCGCTTGGAGTTCAAGACCACATATCTGGATCATTGCCATGGTACCACGTCATAGGGGTAATGTAGTTCCGGGAGATGCAGTCGCACTTTAATGGCCACCAGAAAACATAACTAAGCAAAGAACTTGACGCCAAGGTCATCGTCGGAGGAACCAACAAACAGCTGTGCCTTTCCCTGGCTTTGCAGGATATCTAACGCCCGCCTCAAAACAACAGTATCAAGCCCGCTGAACTCTACACCCAAGCACATTCTCATTAGTTGAAATGCTACCATATCTCTACAGTCTATCAACGGCAGTACCTACCTTGGTCACCAGTGTCATCGCCATTCGTCAGTTCATACACCGTCAGCACGGTATTGATCATCCCCCGATCGGTAGCCCACTGGTGGATCATAGCCGCCCACTCCTCGGGCTTGCGCCAAAACACTAAGCACATGTCCTTTGTGTGCTTCGGGCCAACCCACACGGCATTCCCCTGCTTCACCAGCTCGTCGACGATCTCCCGCAATACATCGACGCGCAGTATGCGCTTGATCTGGTAGTTGTGGAACGGCGGCGAAAGCACTGCTTCAGATAGTGTCATTGTGTGTTGGCGCGTGTGCCGGTAAAAGGACAGAACCAGGTTGCACCAGAGCCGCCGCTGCTCCTGCCATGTCGCCTCTGCGGGTTGCCGCCTATTGATGCAGATAATAACGAGAGGGAGGTTTCAGTTTTTAGATACCTGAACTGGTGGACTAAAATGGGCACCCACGCATTGAGCGCAAGCCTTGCGAAAGGCAGGCCATAGGGTTCTATTCTAACGCCAACGTGGGCTATGCCTTACGTGAAGAATGGCGGGAAGCTGTAGATTTCAGGGAACTCAAACTGCTCTGTGGCTGTTGCCGTCGTCCTGTTCATGCTGACAAGAAGTACAAAAGTGGTAGTGGAATTAAGAGGGGGCAGGCCAATACAAGTAGACGCAAGAAAAGGGAATACTGTGCTGAGCAAAGAGAAGCCAAGCCCAGCCAAGCCGGCGGTGACGAAGAGGCACGAGCCAACAGGCTACTGGCTCCCGGCTCGGCTCGGCCTGGTGTGGAGGGGAAACAGAAAGTCGCCGAGTGCTAAAGAACACTGGCTGGGGGAAATCGAGGGGTTGATACCGCCGCCCGCTTTCACACGCCGCCTCTTTCTTGCCTTCTCGTTTCTCCACCATCCACGTATTGCAAACTCTATTCATTAAAAATGGCGCAAAAGAAATCCAACAGCCTGGTCGACTCGTATCTGGTAGCCTACAATGCCGCATCGTTCGTTGGCTGGTCCTACGTGCTCTTCCAAACCGTGACATATCTTTTGGCGCACGGCACCGACCTCTCGGGGCTGTTCGACCAGGTCGGCTATGCGGTAATCTACGTGCAGACAGGTGCGCTCCTGGAGATCGTGCATTCGCTGCTTGGTTTTGTGCGCTCGAGCGTTCTGCCGGTTCTCACACAAGTGTACTCGCGGCTGCTGCTGGTCTGGGGCACGCTGTATGTGTTTGACCAGCCCGAGGTGCGTGCCTCGTACGGCTTCGTTCTGATTCTGCTGGCATGGTCGATCACTGAGTGCGTGCGGTACAGCCACTACACGCTGTCGCTGCTGGGCATCCAGTCGCCGACGCTGCTGTATCTGCGGTTACACGCTGTTTTACGTTCTGTATCCGACTGGCTTCTCGGGCGAGATGCTGGGAGATGTGGGCGGCGCTGCCGTTTGCCGGTGCGATTCGGCCAGCCTTCAAGGGGTTCCTGCTGCTGAACATTATCAACTACCCGCCTGTACTGTACAAGCTGTATACGCACATGATCCGCCAGCGCCGCAAGGTCCTGGGCGGTGAGACCAAGCCCAAGAAGGCAGTGGCGAGCACTACGGCTGCGACCAAGAAGAAGCTCTGAAAGATAGGGGGAGATAGTAAGAGCAATACGCCATCACCTTTCTGCTACTGTTTCTTAATATACGGATTTTTTTTATTTTCGCCATTCAGCAGTGCTTGAGGCAGACCCCAAAACGAGCCGGGGCGATTGAGCGCACACATAGGTGTAGGTCAAAGCATGGCGCTGGTATATCGCCAATTCTATATTATCACGGTCTATTGTGTATGTATTATTCCCCACCAAGTTATGAGCGGCCAGTATTTTCGCCCGAGGACCTGCTACGCCAAGAGTCGGCCAAGCGCAGCACTGCCTGGGCGCCGAATGAAGCCCCAGACTCGCCAGTAACGAAGCGACAGAGGGCGAGCTACGAGGGCGAGCCAGACACATCCAAATGGGCAGTGCAGCCAGCACCCGACATATTCACGGGCACTGATCATACAATAATTGAGCAGCCATCCGAGCCCGCACCCGTCGATCCAGCAGAGCCAGCGGACGAGTTCGCCAATCTGCATGTGTCGCCGGAGGTCTTGAGACAGCTGCAGGAGCTGTGTATGGCGCAGCACGGCTTTGAGCGGCGACTGTGGGAGCACCGGCAAGCGATTGAGCGCGAAAACGAAAAGGCAATGCAGCAGCTGCTGGCGCGCGAAATGGTGCACAGCGTCAGCAGTAAGGAGAAGGAGGAGATGGCCAGGCAGCACCGACTCGCGCTGGAGCGTGCAGACCGCCGGGCTATCGAGAAACTCGACGACCTGCGGTACCGACAGCAAATGATGCTGCAGAGCATGGGGGTTCCAGAGTTCTTCCCCTCGTCCAGCGTAGATGTAATGGAGCGGCAGCAGCGGATTCTGCACCATCTGCTAAACCCGCTGCAATAGAAAGGAAAGAAAGGGGGATGGATGTTATTCACATAAAAGACATTAGATCTGGTCCGGGTTGAATGTGATCGGGATGTTCTGCCAGGCCTTGTAGTAGTCGTGGTCGCGCTGCTTGTGCTCGACGGCCCACTTTGTCACCTCAGCTGGAACATGGACTCGAACATAAAGGCCATGGTGTTGTCAGCAACACGGCCAGGCAGCAGATCGCGCGTAGTGGCGTTCTCGACAGTCTTGGCGTCAGGGCCATGCGGCGTCATCATCGAGTGCAGGCTGGCGCCACCGGGCAGGAACCCGCCCTTCTTCGCCTCGTACTCGCCGTGAATCAGGCCCATGAACTCGCTCATGCAGTTGCGGTGGAAGTAGGGCGGGCGGAACGTATGCTGCTGCACCTCGAAGCGCGGCGGGAACACGACAAAGTCTGCCACAGCCGTGCCCGGATGAGCCGACTTGCAGGTCAGGACAGTGAAAATGGACGGGTCGATGTGGTCGTAGCTGACTGAGTTGATGACGTTAAAGTTGGCCA